CGTCTGTTAACACGAAAGTTCTGAAAAAGAGAACGATTTGAGGGTGACATTTTTGACAGTTCTTACACTGAGAGTTAGCAAATTATTGTTGGAAAAATTTCTTCTTGCAATCAAATTATTATTCTCCTTCCGGTGAGTAAGCTATTTAAAAACGTTGGGCGCATTTTTAACTTCTGAATGTTTAATTTCCTTTTCATTTCATTTTCATTTCATTTCATTTATTTACCTTACAAAGAAATATAAATAAGCCCACAGGGCCCATAACTTATATTATCTATCTACAATACCCTAACATAATACAAATTCAATGATTAATTCAAACTTAACAAATAACATATTAAACCTAATAATTTATCTTAATAATTCACGAGAAGCTCGAACCCTACACCTCGATTCACCATCACCAACTAAACAATAGTCTAGTAGAGCAGTGAAAAAGTGTAGCAGAAACGAGCTAAAAATAAGAGATAACTATTTTATTACTCACAAAACAGAGTATAAATAGTAACTCACATTATACCCTACAAATAAAATTAAGAAGATAATATAGTGGCTCCCCAGCCCAAACAAAAAGAAAAGCAAAAAGAAAGACCCATAATAAACCGACGCAACCACTACAAAAACATAGCCTACATATTTAGGCGAAGGTATTCAATTACTTTAACCCTAAACAGATAATTGGTATGGGCAAAAGTACGTAAGGCCAAAGGAAGCTGATTCCACAATCTCACCGCCCTAACCACAAATGATCTCTCACCAATGGAGGACGAAAACCTTGGACACAACAATTGAGGATTTCGAGATGATCTACAAAACACAAAGTTGTCACGAAGAGGCGAGTCAAAATTGCACATAACACTGTAATGAAATTGAAGAATACGAAGATCAACGTAGCTGCTAAATGCCAATCCCAGGAGATCATTAACAAAACAATAGCACACAAATTGTTAGTTTTGACAAATCAGCTGATTTCCGTCTTTTTAAGTTTTCTTGCAAAAGAGAATAAAACTACCTTTCTCCTCAGACAATTCCTGCAACAAGAAAAGTAACCAGAATTTATTGTCAAAATTAGTCGTCTTGTCCGATCTTCTGTGTACCTTGGGTATATATGTACCAATCATTTATATTTTTTTTTTATCTTTCGTTACTAAACTAAACCAATGCTTTCCATCCCTGACACCCGCATTCTTTTAGATTTTTTTCTCACCCGCCAATTGTTCTCGTTCTTATATTTAGTTTTAATTTTATTTTTGTTCATCTCTCTCACGCAGCATCCACAAACCAGTACAAGTTCAATGCCATAATTTCGGCATCGCCTGACAAATTCTTTCTTGTTAACGATTGGTTGTGGCCACAGAATCACGTGATTTTTGTGAAGTATAACTACAATACCGACAATGAAGACAACAACAATAACAACAATGTCCGGTTACAATTGAAAACATCCCCCGTCTATGTAAACAGGAAGAGAGGACTCACCTAACTGGAGTTGTTCTCATTTATATATTTGTTTACATTTTGTTTTTGTAGAGTTGTGAGTTGTTGTGCGAGAGATGACTGTTGCAGTGCGTGGTGATGCCAATGGTAAAGAAAAGAAATTTGGCTTTCTTCCACAAAATCAACACAGTGGGATAAAAATAGAAAATACCTGGCAAATTTGAAATAGAAAAAGGCGGATAAAAGGAGACTAGAAATATATAAATAGGAAACACATGAAGATAGTTTACACTCGAGAAAAAAAAACCTGGAAAACCTCAATTTGAATGTAAGGAAATTAATATGATAGAAGTGGTGTGAGAGGCTCGATGCTACCCCAATCCATCAACTCAAATATCATGTGTGCTAATGTAAGTGCTAAATGTCATTGGAATAGGTCTGGTGGAGATTCCCTTTTATACCCACCAACATATATAGTATTTAGGGTATATTAAATTCTCATTCCGTTTGTAACTCATCGAAATAATTCTAGAAACAACAAAGTATAACTATTTTTAATCAGCGTAAAATCTAAGACGACCCGTATGTCTGTTGTAATCACTCTAGAGTCAAAACGGAGAAAGAAAGCAAGCTAAAATTTTAGTAAAGAGTAAAGAATCGACTTGATCGAAACCCGCGTCGCAGTTGCCGAAAAATGACTCGTGAGCTGAACATATCGCAATATTCCATTTGGCAAATATTGAAAAAAGAGCTCGGGGTAAAGCCTTTAAATTTCCAAAAAGTGCAAGAACTTACACCGCAACAGAAAGAAAATAGGCTGAAAAGAGCTAAAGAGTTGCTTCGCTTGGCCGAAGTAGTGAACTGCCGAATTAGGTTTTCTCCGATTAGAAAACATTCGCTGTCCAGGTGTTTGTAAAAAAACAAAATAATCGTGTTTGCTTGCCAAAGAGGTCAGCTGAAAATTTGCATCTTCGGTTGGCCACCAGAACTCAAGTGCCGGCCATGGTGATGGGGTGGACCGCCATAACAGTCGATGGTCGCTCTCCGCTCGTATTAATCGTCCGTGGTATCAGAATAAATGCCGAATATTATCGCGAAAATATTCTGGAGGATGTATTGAAGCCTTGGCACGCAAACATTTTGCCAGCAGTCCTTGGACATTCCAACAGGACTCAGCATCATCGCACTCAGCACGCGCCACCTAAGCATTGTTGAAATCAGGTTCTTCGCTTCATTTCCAGCACACAATGACCGCCAAAATCTCCGGATACCAATCCGTTGGACTATTGTGTCTGCGGTACTTTGGAAAGCAAGGTTGGGACTAAAAAATACAAAAGTGTCTTCGCCGGAAATGGGCCAAAATACCACAGATCAACATTCGAGCAGCGCGTATGGTTTCATTGGCCGTTTGAAGGCCATAATTCGTGCCAAAGTTGACCAATTCAAACAAATCTATACTTATTCTAAAATTTGATGCTATTTCCGATATTTATTGCTTTCATTCAATAAAATTTAAGAAAAAAATGTAAAAATTATGGCGTTTGACTTTGTTCCATTTTTTTATCTCACCCTGTTTAGCCTTTCCAAAGTGCTACAAAATATATTATAATCTTCCTAGTTCTGCTCACTTGGAGGTATATTCATTAGCTTTTGAAAAATGATATTGTCCATATGGATTTAGTAGATCCCGGACTTTTGGGTCAAATTTCCGGGTATCCCTGCCCGTCCTCCAAGAAAATCATTTCCATAAATCAAGATTAAAACACCTACCTCTGCAAAAAAAATCAAAAAATCCGAGAGAGTACCAAACTATAGCTGTTCCTGGTTCTTTGCTATATCCACTTTAAATCGATGAATATTTCCAATTTGTCATTCCGTTCGCAAGACCTTGAAAAATTCCACGCAGATCATGCAAAAGTTACGTTTCTTGGAACATATGTACGAAATTTAACGATTTTTTTCTATTCTCCCATTCGCAAAAAAAATCTAATGTAAATTGCGACAAAAATTTTCCATTTCGAGATTCACAGCGATGTTGTCATAACCGCAAAACCATAACCCCCCAGCAGCCGCCAAGCAATCAACCAACCTTGACATTGATAAGTAACAGACACAATTATCGGTCAAATAGAGTGCAACTGCACCCATCGACAGACGGTGATGATGATGTTGGGGGGGGCATTGTTTTTGTCATATGGATAAAACACTAAACCCCCTTTAAAACAACAAACATGCACACATTCCATTTGACACACATAGGTATAAAGACACAAAAAATTCAAAATTGCTTTTTCAGCTAGCAACAGCAAAAGATTTTGTTGGAAAAAGAAAATGCGCAAAAAATCAATAACAGAAAACCAGCAATGGAAAATTTTTTCAAACATCAACATCATTTGCCGGCTGGCTGACAACAGATTGAATGCAAAAAAATGCATTACAATGCAGATTGTGAGCAAACTAATCTTCGTCGTTGAGCCCCTACTTCTCCTGTCACCACCTATTTTTTTTTTTTTGTTTTTTGTTATTTTCTTTACAATTGTATCCAATTTTGCCGAGTTTTTTTCTTTTTCGTACTTTTTTTTTTGCTAAATTTTTGTTTGTTTATCTTAAATTAACATTTTAGCACATGTGCTGAAAACGTGCTCAGTTTTGTTTTTTTGTGTATTTCTTCTATCTATGCGGTGCAATATATACAACAATAAGGCAGCAAAACAATAAATAATCCCAACAACAATAATAATAATAAACAAAACGAGCGCCAACGACAAAAAATTTATGTAAATTTTTTGTATAATCATCAACGTCAGAGAGTCATCAGCAAACTTGCGGCACAGAGCAATAATGTATAGCTGCTATGTGACATTTATGTCACAGTGGGTCATTCGTAAGGCCATCGAGAACATAGGGTATCCACTTTGCAATTTGGCAATGCAAAATTTCAATAAACCGGGATTGGTTGTGTATGATCTGATCATACATTTTAAAAGATTGCATTTTTTGTTTAAATACTAAAATAAGAATTCTTCTCTTCAGTATTCTTTCATTGCCAAACAAATATTTACATTTTCTGCTGTTTACTTTAGTTTATTAGAATCTACCAATATTCATCATTCTCAACAAACATCTTCCACTGTGTTTCTTGTAAAATTTCCATAACAAGTAAAGAACAACAACAATGTTTAGAACACATGATGTAACAACGATTTGACAACCTAGCCATGCGGCTAGAAAGGGAGTGATTTGGAGAGAGAGAGAGAGAAAACCATTTGTGAAGAGAAAGGGGGAGGCGAATAACAAAAATCTTACAACCTTTCTTAACACAACAAAAAAGGGCGTTTATCCATAACCAGAGAAAAAAAAAATACCATAAAAGAGAGCAACGCCAACAAAATACAAACGAAACAACAACACCGAACACAACGACAAAATTCTGACGTTTCAACTTTGAGTCATTTGTGGAAATTTTCGTCATCGATTCACGAAATTATTTTCAAATTGGCATTAAAAAAATGCTGGTGAGAAAGAAATTATTGGGTATTTTCCTCCAGGCAAAAGTGACTCACCATCCATCACACCATACACGAATTTCCTTGTTAGGTTCCTTCTGGCCATTGACCACCGCCTCTGTATTACCGTTATTCATTTTTGTATCACTCATTTTTTTCTTCTTTCCCTTTTCGATTGGTTGTTGAATTTTCTAAATATTATATTAAATTTTTTCACTTATTTTTGAAAGGTAAGTAGAAAAAATTTCACTTGATAGCTTCTCTATGGATTGTTGAGTTGTTTCTACTTTTATTTTCTTGTTGTTGCCTTTTTTCAAACAACAATCCTCAAAACGAAACGTCGACAACGGTAGGTAATAAAGTAATAATTCAAAAGACAGAAAAACTAAATCACAACAAATGTTGAACGAAGAGCGACCCACACAATAACGCGCTTGTTTCTCCGTTTAACAACTAAAATATTACTGACTGACGTCGTTTTGAGACTGAACGTGTAGCTGAGTGGTTAATTTCTTATAAAATAAAAATTGTTTAGGTTGCCACAAAAAAGACGGATAAAGAGAGAAAGAGAGAGAACAGACGCGTGCGCCAGCTACAAGAAAATTATTTAACAAATGAATGTATAATAACAAAAGTTTTATTTGGTTCTTTCCCAACGGGGATGAGCAATGTGTGAGATGAAATGATACACAATTTGGTACGTGTGTACTAAAGGGGCAAATGGTAGAAGTATACAGGTAAATGCATCGACGCTTGGGAACATTGAAATATCAAAAAATTTAAAATTTTTTTTTCAAATGTAAATAAATTTTTACATGTTTTCTTATACGATGTTATTCGGAGGTTATTAGAATTCGCGTTTTTTTTTTTAATTTTTTATAAATTTAAATAATTTTTCACTCAACATTTTCAATTCCAAAATTGTTTTAACAGTTCAGCAGCTGTGTCGATTCGTCTACCTATATTCTTCTACTATGATATATGCGAAGGCTGGGGTTATGTGCCGACATTGCAAAAGTATAAATACAGGTAGCTGCATGGTAAAAGAGTATAGATAGCCGCGTCGACAAATCTGACAGGATAATGAACTGTGAAAACTTTTTTTGGAATTGAAAATGTTGAATGAAAAATTATTTAAATTTGAAAAATATTAGAAAAACGCGTATTACAATGACCTCGTCAGCAACTAGGAGTTTGGAGTTAAATTTTGTTATGACATTTTTATATACATACAATATTTTTGAAGCCTTTTAAATGAAGTCTATTTTAGTGCTATGCAACATTATTCAACAATTTCAGACATAAATATTGGAAAGTTACTGTTCGAAAATAAAATTTGATAAGCTGTAGAGCTCAAATAAATATGTACGAATTTTATAAATTTGTACAAGCATTAAAATATATCATCGTCTGTTCACTCGGCTAAAACGAAAATAGCAGTAGCCGAAATCAAAGTTATTGCTTTTTTCGTACGCTGAATTTTTTGCTTCATTGTTGGTTAGGTTGTTGTTCTCCAATCGGTTGTTCCATCTCCAATCATAACAAACTAAAAGAGAGCGTATTGTCCTCTCTTTGCAAAGTACTCAACAACTGTATATAATTTTATTGGATTATTGTTGTTGTTTTCTGTATAAAAACATTGTTCATTTGATTTATTGTCTGACTCTCTCTCTATTTTGTTACGAAGGATAGGGGTTCCAATGCATATCTCAGTTAATTGGAAATTATGGAAATATTCCGAGACTTTCAGATCCTGGTTGGTAATAGAATACATAAAAAGCTTTTTTGACTGGCTTAAGTCATCGGCTGGCTTCCTGGTAGAGGCACAAGGGAGCATAGGGCCAAAATCGAACTAAGTCGACATAAAAATCCTTTGTTCCTCTACGAAGAAGCCAGCCAGTCAAAAAGCGTTTTATGTATTCTCACCTAAACTCTGTTGATGTAATTCTTTGTTGTAGTGATTCGTTGTGTTTAATGTACCGTGAACGTGACAAAGTTTAAAAAAAGAAGAAAAAAAAAAAAAAAACAACTGGGATCAGAATAACTTCAAATCGCGGCAACATTGGCCGCCAACACAAAGATATCCTTTTTCGAACTTTTCGGACTGTGCTCTCTTCATGCAACAAAGAACAAAAAACTTCCATCGGTGAAAATCGGGCGCCTAATGTTTCTCTTCGAACTTCCTGATTTGGTTCTGCATTGGAAGCCACCTCCATGAAGTGTATATTCAATTAAATTAGAAATGAAACAACTACAATTACAAGGAGATTTCTAACCTTTGGATCTACACTGACACCTTTTGTGTAGAAAAAGTCTATGGTATCTATGGTTCTATGGTATCCGGAAAAAACAACACTGTTCTGCAAAAGTCTAACAAATTTATTTTTTCGCATTTGTAAAAAAACAGTTTTTATATAAAATTCCTTAGCCAATAACACTGCCTGGGTCGTAAACCATAGCAAATGGACTATGGACCAAACATAAATATTGAAATCTCATTTTGAAATTTTTACGGACTAGCGGATAATCACCACGCCTTGTACATATGTATGTATTGCGTACTCACAATTAATTACTGATATAATGCGGTAGGTATAAAACGGAGATTATTTATTGGTCATGGCTAGCTAACTTGCCCATTAATACAAGTTATATTTATAGGTACCTACTATTCATAAAATTGATTTTTTTACAAAACACCGATCAAGGGTTATTACTGGTTTATATTGAACATTGTTTGGCATCCAAAACAAGAAGAAGAAGAAAAATCACAATTTCAATGATTGTTTGTTTTTATTATTTTTTTCGCTTTTCAATGAAACCTACTTATCATTTCTATTGTATAGAAAGCAATGATCCATTCCATACAACCCGTATTGGATGGAGTAAGTACATCAGCGTATAAAATACCAACATACCGATGTACATAAGTATCGCCGACGGGTTCAACCGGTCGTTGGTTGTATTCTGAATGAAATTGGAATTGATAAAGAAAAAGTCACGCCACTTTTTTGCTTTTCATAGAATATGTTGTTATTGTTATTTCTTTTTCTTTTCTTTTTTAATTTTGTTTGTTGAGTTACTACGTGAGCTACTTTACTATTAAAAACAATAGCAAGCGATAATTAATCAGGGAATCCTACATTTAGAGTGTAGCTGAAAGTCGTAGTAGAAGAATGTGGTATTATAAAATTGTCTATAATGGGAACATGGCAGATGAGGTAAATAGATGAAATGGTATTTAATACGACAGGAAACGGAACTTTTTCTCTTCTCACACTCTCTCATGAGAGAATGAAGTTGCACATTTGCATGCACCAGAGATGGAAACTACGATATATAAAACTACGCGTACGTATCACAATGTTTACAAAGAAGAGGGCATGCACGGTACAATAACAGAAAGTAGCATTTAGCAAGCAAAAATATAAACAGTTTGTCTATATATGTGTGCTATTTTGCATGACAAAGCAAAAAAATTGCTTTTGCAAGTAAATTTTATAAAAAATATTTTTAATAACTTTGTGATAAAACAAATTTGTCCTCCTATCTTGAATTATATCATGTGTTATAGCCCCAATCGTGTTATTTCTCATCGGAGAAAACCAAATCGGCAGTTCACCACTTTCGGCCAAGGGAAATATCTGTTTTGAGTCTATTTTCTTTCTGTTGCGGTGTAAATTCTTGCACTTTTTGGAATTTCAATGGCTTTACCCCGAGCTCATTTTACAATATTTGCGAATGGAATATTGCGATATGTTCAGCTCACGAGCCATTTTTCGGCCACTGCGACGCGGGTTTCGATCAAGTCGCTTCCGCAAAATTATTACAAGGTAACAGCAAAAACCAGATTTGAACCTACAGCACAATTTATTATTTTGTGATTCTATTTTCTTTAAGAAAACCCCGCAAAAACTGATTGGAATATTGGGATTATTCCAAAAATATATATTGTATAATTTTTTGCCCATTAATGTCGTTCATTTCAAATGGTTTTCAAATTGTGTATGTGTTTTTATAGAATAGGCGCACAAGCAAAATTGTATTTAGGAGTAAAGTTGAGAATACATAAAAAGCTTTTTTGACTTCAAAGGAACTAGAAAAATGCAACTCTGTTCTGGTATCTTATAGTGTCAAATAGACTTTTAAATATGTAACAGTTGGCTTTGTTTATTTTTAATTTTTTTAAACTAAATTCTTATATTGGGAAAAACCGGTGAAATAAGAATGGAATTTTGGGGTTATTTCACAAGATTGAATTAAAAATAACGGGACAATAGAGTTTTATCACAGAATTGTGCAATTTTTCACCATTTATTTTATTTTTTTATTCAAAGCAATACACAAAAATTATGGCGTTTGACTCTGTTTCAATTTTTTTATCTCAACCTGAGATAAAAAAAATTGAAACAGAGTCAAACGCCATAATTTTTACATTTTTTTTAAGTTTATTGAATGAAATCAAGAAATGTCGGAAATAGCATCAAATTTTTAAATAAGTTTTGATTTGTTCGAGTTTGTCACCTTTGGCACGAATTATGGCCTTCAAACGACCAATTAACCCGTCACACGCTGCCCGAATGTTGCTCTGCGGTATTTTGGCCCATTCCCGGTGAAGAACTTGCTTGAGGTTATTGACACCTTGGTATTTTTTAATGTCAACCTTGCTTTCCAAAATATTCCAGACTCAATAGTTTAGATTTTAGATTTTGGTGGCCATTGTGCGCTGGAAATGAAGCGAGGAACCATGGTACAATGAAGAGAAGGTAGGTCAACTTTGAAAAAATTGCAAGTATAGAGGTCTACCTGTTTGGCTTGTAATGTCAGAAATAGTATCAAAACAATAAAAAATCAAACAACTTGTTGCATTTATTTTGAATAAATAATTGAAAACCGCGATAACTGAATGAAAAGTCAACACTTCTTTTCAAAATATATCTCTTAAGGATTATTTCGCTACAAAAACTCTAGATTTTGTCGATGCATACGTTGAAATAATCATTTTGAAAACATCCGAATTTGAATATTTTCTGAACAATTTTTTTGTTATTGAAAAGAAAACACATACATAAACAAATAAAGGTGACATATTAAGGCAAGAAAATAAAAAAATTGAAATCATATGGTATCATAGCCCTACCTTGATATCATTGTACCATGCGAGGAACCTCATTTTATAACCATTCTTGGGTGGCGCGTGCTGAGTGCGTGCGATGGTGCTGAGTCCTGTTGGAATGTCCAAGGTCTGCGGACAAAATGTTTGCGTGCCAAAGCTTTAATACACCCTCTAGAATATTTTCGCGATAATATTCGGCATTTTCTCTGATGGCACGGTCGATTAATACGAGCGGAGAGCGACCATCGGCTGTTATGGCGGCCATCACCATGGCCGGCGTTTGAGTTCTGGTGCCCAACCGAAGGTGCACATTTTCAGCTGACCTCTTTGGCAAGTAAACGCGATCATTTTGTTTGTTTACAAACTGCAGGACAACGAATGTTTTCTTATCGGAGAAACCCAAAATGCGGCAGTTCACCACTTTCGGCCAAGCGAAGTAACTCTTTAGCTCTTTTGAGTCTATTTTCTTTCTGTTGCGGTGTAAGTTCTTGCACTTTTTGAAAATGCAATGGCTGGCTTTACCCCGAGCTTATTTTTCAATATTTGCGGAATGGAAAATTGCGATTTGTTCAGCTCACGAGCCCTTTTTCGGCCACTGGGACGCGGATTTTGATCAAGTCGCTTCTTTACTTTTCGAACCATTTTTGCAGATGTGGCTGTTTTCTTCCGTCCACTTCCTTGACGTCGGGCTACGCTACTAGTATCACGGTAACTAGCGATGGTACGAGACACAAAAGATTTATTCACATTTAAATGCTGTAGTGCTCTAACGATAGCCACTTATGACTATCTATCACGCTTGAATTCCATCACGAATAAAATTTTTTCTGGAAAATTCCCACCAAAATACTTTTGTACGCTTGTAAACAATATAATGAGCTGTCAGCGGAATAATTTTAACAGCTGTCGGACGAGTGGCTTTGAAATGACAGGAGTCTTAAATTGGTTGCAGTTTTTTCATCTCACCCTGTATAGTGCGGAATCTTAAGTGATAGACTATCTTTTTCATAAAAGAACAAAGGATCTTTAGGTAGACTTAGTTCAATTTTGGCCCGCAATTTATACTTGTTCACCCTATGCTCCTTGGTTCCTTCACGAAGAAGCCAGCCGATGACTTAAAGCAGTCCCAACTTTTCTAAGAACTAAGTCAACCTGAACCTCTTTTGTTCCTCTACGAAGAAGCCTGCCGATGACGTAAGCCAACCAAATAAGCGCCTTAAGGGTTTATCTAAACACACAAGATTTACCCACTGGATCTAATAAATCTAGTGGGTTAATCTTCAATAGAATAAATGCGCTATAAGACTCCAGTACAGAGTTGCATTTAATTCTAGTTCCTTTGAAGCTAAACTACCTTTCTTGCTGTGCTATAGATTCATGTATTAATTGACAAAACCCAAATAGCAGTTTCAAAAACAAATTTTTAAATCATGAATGAATATTTTTTTTGTAAGTGGCCGTGAATGTAATCTAAATAGCATGTTATCTACTTTACCTTTAGATATCAAATCATTATCAGTGTTTTTTGATTATAGGGGTGTGCGTTTACCCAATCATTATTATAAACTTGTACGACTTTGTAGTGCATGCTATTTCTTTTCCACTTAAACCAATCAAATAAAATTGATGGAAAGAGCATCAGATGTGTAACAGGTAGTTTACAAATTCTTCCTAGGGAACACGGCCGATATAAGCTCGGCCAGTAAGCCCATCTGACAATTAAGTTTGCTGTCAAAATACATAATTGTGATTTGAAATTTAAAGAAAGTCAAATCAAAATAAAAACTACTAAGTTCGTTGTCAAATTAGGTGTTTTTGTTTAATTTTCCTATAGGAATCGCCCAGCAACTTCTTTCTGAGGGTGTAAGGTAGTTTTATTCTCTTATGCAAGAAAATTGTGAAATGTAAACAGACAGAATTCCAGCAAAAACTTGCAAGCAATCAGCTGGTGTGTCAAAACATTGCAATTAGTGCGTCATAAACACAGATTAATCATGCAGAAATTAAAAATAAGCCGAAAACCAAAACACTTGCGCTGCGATTTCCAAAATAAAGATGGTTTTAAATTGCTTGTCCGAATATAAATCACCGGAAGGAAAAGAAATTTGTCCAGCAAGAATTTACAATCTCTCAGTGAATAAACTGTCAAAATAGTTCTCTCAAATTGCTCTCTTTTAGAGATCTTTCGGTTCCATTTATGGTAGTAGAATACAGGTGCATCAACGCTAGGGAACATTGATATGTCAAAATTTTTAAAAAAATTTTGTCAAAAATAAGTAGATTTTTATAAGTTTTCTTATGCGACACCATTCGGAGGCTGTTATGATATGTATTTTTAAAATTTTTTACAAATTTGAATAATTTTTCATTAAAAATTTCCAATTTTAAAATTGGTTTAACAGTTCATTGTCCCAGCAGCTGTGTCGATGGGACTACCTGAATTCTTCTAACATGGTTAAATTACAGAAACCGAAAAGTATCGACACTCATGGTACAATGAAAAGGTATGATAAAGCTACCAGCTGATTACAATTTTTTGTAAATATTTTCAAACTCAATGATTGGAAGAAGCGTACATTGCGGGACGTATATTAGTAATATTAACTAGTTTTGTCCTGGAATTGAAAATTTGAGCAGTTCAAGACATATTCTTAATTTTTTACGATTTTTAACTCATTTAGATAATGAGGAACTATACCAAATAAATTAAAACAACTTGTTGGATGCAATTTTTTAATAATTCTGTTATGAAGCGGGCATAGGTTCAGGGCTGTATTTCTTTAAGGTGGGAATACATAAAGCGCTTATCCGGATGGCTTCTTCGGAAATGAACAAAGGAGCCTAGGGTAAAATCGAACTAAGTCAACTTAAAACTCCTTTGTTCATCTATGAAGAAGCCAGCCGATGACTTAGGCCATCCGGATAAGCGCTTTATGTATACCCACCTTAATGCTAGGAACACAATTGGAGCGAACGACGATTTTTTTCGCGGCGTATGTTCGTCGTCAAAAATAAAACACATATGTGTATATGGAAGTGCACACAATCACGGCACCGGCGAAAATTTCGTCGGTCACCGCGAACTCAATTAGCTTTATTTCTATTTCATACGCCGGCGACCGGCGAACAAAACAGTAAAAGGTGGCCATACTTGTACGAATTTTATGTGTTTTAGTAAATAAAGTTACTTTTTACTTTAAAATTTGTTATGGTCACTCTACTATCTGTTACTCGTATAAAAAAACATAATTAATTTGTTTATTTATTTGTGTACTTGCGCCTGAGTGAAGATGGATATCAGTGAATTTATAATAGAGAAGATGGACATAAGTGAAATTATAATAGAGAACGTAAAGAATTATGTGTTCTTGTATAATTCATTGTAGTCAACAAATGAGCAAAAAGTAAACAACTTCATCAGCTGTTTTATAATTTCGTCGGTATTGTGTTCCATACGACGAATTTTCGCGGCTCATTTTGTCGCCGCGTAGGGCGAAATTCGTCGTTCGCTCCAATTGTGTTCCTAGCATTAAATAAGATCTTAAATTTCTTTGCAAATACAGGGCATATCAGAACATTCCATTTTTCACCACTACTTATGTGCTAAAATACAACCCTGTGCTTATATCAAATGTTTCATTCCAAAATGTTTCAATGCCTCTTGCTCCGTTGCTCTTTCATGTTTCTTAATCATGATTTAATTGTATCAATTAAAATAATACAGAAATTCAATTTTTAAGAATTAAAACAAATAATGGGCTTATTATTTATTAGAAAATAAAGAAATCTATGTCGAATGATCAATCATTTATTTTATATGTAGGAAAACAACTGTTGTTTCTCTTTAGCCAGACGTGAGAGAGCTAGCTAAATTAACGTCCCATTCGGGGACGCCGTTGCATGACATCGTCCATGACTCCGTACTCTGCCTAGCATGTCAATGAAACAGCTAAGTTGGCAAAGTGTTCATTCGTTCACTAGATTTCGTGGGAATTAATAACAAAAAAAGCCATAGAACGAATGGGTCTCTAAACTATTTTACACTATTTACCTCTTATAATATACAAAGTAGTCATATTAATAATAAATGACGTGTGGTTATTTAAATATTGATTAAAACAACCAAACACCGACTGTAGTTTCACAACGCAACAACAAATAAACACAACAACGACAAGATAGTGAGTGAATGACGTAGTAGTGTGGCATAAACTAAACATTTGAAGTTCAAAAAGCCGCAACAACTAAGCAAGTAATAAACGTAATTATAGCTAATAGAAAAGTTTTTTCGTCTTCTGAAAACTAAAATTAGCCTTGTGTGAACACTGAGTACTTTTTTATGTAATGAAATACACTTGATGACCATTTGTAATTAAAATCATTTTGTTTTTGTTGTTGTTTTTATTTTGCATTTGTTTCTTTATGCGAACACCAAAGATATCTACAAAAACAACATCAGCTATAAGTTAAATTGACAAATTACACGCCAAGGAGGAGAAGAAGAAGAAATAATTAAACACAAAAATGCCTAAACCTGATGTGCGAAAACGCAAGGTAAGTACAAAAAAAAAAAAAACCCAAGAGAATGAAAGATATTAATGTAAGATATTTTTGTATATTTCTTGGGATGTGCATTGCATTTGATGCGAGTGCAACAGGTATTCGGAAAAATAGCTGCGGCGTACTAATTCAAATTCATTCATTAGTGTTAAACACTGTTTATTTTGACTACTTAAAAAGGGTTGATTACAAAAGTGATATATAAAAAATTGGGAATAAGCTGAAAATTTCTGCCTCATAGAATAACAAAATCACAATAAACTTGGTTACTGGCGGAAAAAAAACTTGCCATACAAAGAAAACTGACTTGGTATATTAAAGCTTACAATGCAAAAGGGTCTTTTTATACCCTTTCGAACAGGTATACAGTAAAGTAAATAATTTATTATTTGCCAACATAAATATACAAGATTGTCTACCTTGCAGAATAGCCACCATCGTTAGCAGATCAGTTACCGGAATAACGTTCTAGAATTTTATGATAGCAGTCCAATGGAAAGAGTTTCCGTTAGTGGGAAAATTTACCACTGCTCGGAGAATTTACACTTCGCCATACACGCAAAACTCGGCTACGATTAGGGTATTCACCTAGCGGGCTACGCGAACCTAATTTTCTTAAAAATCATTAGTTTGCAGTCTACAGACAGCCTCAGGCCGAGTACTTTTTTTTTAAATATGCGTAAAAATATTTCTTTTAAATCGTTAGTTTAGCGTATATACCCTAGCCGAAGAAGTCAGTAGATATATATTTTATTAAGTAAATATGTTAGTAATAAAGTAAAGTAGCCATTCAAAAATAAATGTGGCTCTTGACGAAAATGAGAATGAAATTGGATCATGCCCGGTCTTCATTTGGGAATTTAATATTTCTGCTAGGTGAAAGACTCAGCTACGCGAATCTAATTTTCTTTTGTGTTGTTGCCTTAGAATACGAATGCAGACATCGGTCGGCTACGAGAACCAAATTTTCTTTAAATTCTAATTACCAATAACTCGGTATACATTTCCAAAAAAAAAAAAAATCATTATTACCAGCATTACTAGATCTACCCAATTCGATCCATTATTCGGAAAAGATATTTCATTATTACCAGCATAACAAGATCTACCCAATTCGATCCATCATTCAGAAAGAACCCTCAGCCGACATCTTCATCAGTAGCAGTCCTCAATTGTAGTTACCCAATATATTTATAAGGGTGAGGGTGTTAGGTCAGAAGAACCCAAAGCGATAGTTTCAAATGAAGTATTTAACATCGCCAATTTTTTTTTTTAAATTTGTATTATTCAGTCCTCCTTGGAGAAAATATTTTATTATAGCAAAAATTTGGGGTTGTGACATAAAAGCTTCCTCCAGATTTTACCCATAATTACAATCTATTTTGTGGTTTGAGAAGATAAAATGTAAATATACGACCACAATGTCCATTCATCCATTCATGTTTTTTTCGAAATTTTCTTTTATTTTGGTTGTCCAAAATAAGGGTTATACCCTGGCTGTATATTTAGGCCGTATTTTTGTGTATCGATAATATCTATCTTTTGCGAGCACCACAGCTTGGTGTTATATCTTTGTGCATCTGTTTTGTAACATGTAGAAGTAAACGAGCATGTCCGTTCGTCCGTCTGTCCATGTATTTTTGTAAACAAAGTACAGGTCGCATTTATTGTCCAATTAAGATGAAATTTTCCACTAATAAAATTGGTCCAAAACTCTGTTAAAGTTTTCTTATACAGTGTGAGATAAAAAAAAACTACAACAAAGTCAAACGACATATTTTTTTTTAAATTTTATTGAATTAAAGCAAAAAAATTTCGGAAATATCATCAAATTTTAGAATAAGTTTAGATTTGTTCGAATTGGTCACCTTAGGCACGAATTATGGCCTTCAAACAGACAATGAAACCGTCACACGCTGCCCGAATGTTGCTCTGCTGTATTTTAGCCCATTCCCGGGAAAGCGCTTGCTTAAGGTGATCGACACTTTGGTTTTTTTAGTGCCAACCTTTCTTTCGAAAATAGTCCAGTATCCGGATCGGACCAGTATCCGAAGACTTTGGTGGGTATTGTGCGCTGGAAATGAATCGAGATACTTAATTTTGTAACCATTCCTGTGTGGCGTGGGCTGAGTGCGATGGTGCTTAGTCCTGTTGGAATGTCCGAGGTCTGCGGCCAAAATATTTGCGTGCTCAAGGCTTTAATACACCCTCCAGAATATATTCGCGATAATATTCGGCATTTATTCTGATGCCACGGTCGATTAATACGGAGAGCGACCACCGGCTATTATGGCGGCCCACACCATCACCATGGCCGGCGCTTGAGTTCTGGTGGCCAACCCAAGGTGCACATTTTCGGCGGTTCTCTTTAGCTCTTTTGAGTCTATTTTCTTTCAGTTGCGGTGTAAGTTCTTGCATTTTTTGGAATTTCAACGGCTTTACCCCGAGCTCATTTTCAATATTTGCCGAATGGAATATTGCGATGTGTTCAGCTCACGAGCCGAAAGGCAATTTCGATCAAGTCGCTACTTTACTTTTCGAACCTTTTCTACTGATGTTGTTGTTTTCTTCCGTCCACTTCCTTGTATCACGGTAACGAGCGATGGTACGAGACACAAAAGATTTATTCACATTTAAATGATGGAGTGCTTTAACGATAGCCATTTGTGGTTTTCCAGCCACATATAAAGAAATCACAATATCACGCTTGAATTCCATGACAAATAACTTGTTTTCTGGAAAATTCTCACCAAAATGCTTTTGTACGCTTGTAAACAATATAATGAGATGTCACTGGAATAATTTTAACAGCTGTCGGACGAGCGGCTTAGAAATGACAGCAGTCTGAAGTTGGAATAAATTGAACCATTTTATCTCCTTTCTTTATAGGGGCGACTTGCAGTCTTCTTTGTTTAAGGTTCTTTCCTGTTTTTTAGATAGAAAACGGACATTCCCTCTTAATATGGAATCCAAATTACGGTGTCCGCCCTTTCGTTTTCATTGAAATATCTAGCAGAACCATGCCATTTTATTGTCAATAACCACCTATCTGTTTAATTTCCTTTATCAGCGTTATTTTCAAAAGCTTTGTGCTTGGGATATCAAATGTATTGTGTTTTTTTTTCGTTCGTTTTTTTACTAAATTTGTTTCGATATTTGACAACAATAATTCATTGGGGTTGGCCAATTTGAAAATTAGCCAAAATTCTTGAAATACATTCAATTGAACAAATTGTACCAAAAAAAACTGAACTAAATGAACTCAACTTACGACCGACATTAGCATCCCACAAATCAAATAAGCGATGACATCAATAGAACAAGACAAGAACATTGGTGTGTTTTAAATTAAATAATTCAACTATCATTGAATCAAATGTCTGTGTAAACATCACTTTTGTTATTCGATTTCATTTTTACCAAGTCATCCTTGTAGAATTTCACAATATTCAAACGAATTTTCCTATATCAGTAATAGATTAGTTTCAAGACCACCACGTTTTGAACTTATCTTGTTGATATGCTCAAAATAAAAATACATACATGTTCATGGTGACTCTTAATATTTTACAATCTTAAAATATCAAAAATTGACCTACGCCACGATGGTTGTGGAAACAGATCAATATTGAAATCACAAAACAAAACAAGCAATGAATTTTTGTTTTTTTTTTTTTTTAATGCGGCCCTAGAAATAGTCCCATGGTTCAATGTGTGTACATATAGTATAAAAATTACTAATCTCCCCTTGCCGCTACTCTGACACACATCTAAGTGTATTTTATCTTCTAGCCTCTACTTTTTTGCAAATCATTTTGTGAATTACAATCATAAAAAACGACAACAACGTGTTCAGAATTAAGTAAACTTGTAAATAAAATAGTACACATTTGCACACTCACAAACAAATTTGTATAAATAGATAAGATGAACTACCACCATGAGCAAAACAAAAAAAAACACAATTGGCGAATGAAGGGGCTTTTTATTTCTATTTAATACCCCCTTTGATTGGCAAGATAAGCATGATAACATTCCATTTAGGGTAAAGATTTCTTTTGCTATTATAGGGATTTATGCACGGAAAGATTTGTAAAAGAACCCCCGTAATGAAAATCCAAACATTTATTTTTCTTTAAAGAACATTTTTGTTTCTGACTCATGGGTTACATTTCTAACAGTGATTTACCAAATTTCAATTTCGAAAAAGGTTACGATAAACGATATTTTTCAGTCAAATTAAAGCGTTTTTTTAATGCCATCAAATTGACATTACCGTTATGTATCTCAAATTCAGTTTTGTTTCCTCTCTGTATTTGCATCTCTTCAAGATTTTCTCTCTCCATTCAAATCACTAATTGAGTGTGGCCAACAACTCTAGTTTACAAAAAACGTTAAAAATGTGAACATATTTTCAAAAAAGAAATGACTTTAAAGCCGTGAATGCCAACAAAATCAAAAGAAAACAAAAGTTTTTTATTATCGCTTAAGTTTTGGGGCGAACATAACAGCTTCGTCCAGATTTAAGCAACAGTAATAGCTGCTTGATGGTTGTGTGGAATTCTGGGGGTTTCAGGACATTAAATATAGTTCCACATTGTGTTGAAGTGCCCGCAGAATCCTTTGGATTTTTCGAGATTTTAAAAATAAAATCTAAATATAGCTCAAATTAAACATAATCAGTTCGGTTGCTTTCAAGATTACTTTAAGTATCGGTAGTAGGTTTAGTCGGAATCAGGCGTTTTGTCTGTAGAACACAATTCTATAGGGAAGGTGTGGCTTGCGGCCGTATTTGCTTACCGATAATTTGGGATTGAAATTGTGATACATGGTTCCACATTTATGATTGATAGCTTTGGCCGGCCTTTTATTCATTTTAACATGTAGATACAAACAATTAGTATTTTTAGGCATATAAAATAGGATAGAGTCAAGATCGTTTAAGACTTGGATAAAGCTTCCATATATATCCTCGTCCGATTTACATTTTATTGTGCCATATGTGTAATATTTGTACAAATAGGATGTATTGCAGCACATCCAACCGAATTTACCCTAAAAATCTATTAACGATATTATTCATCAGAAATTTTTCAAATTTGGTATTTGAAGTTCGTAATGGATACTACAGCCTACGACAGAAAATTGCCCGTGCAGGTCCACGCCTTCGTATAGCCCCCATATAACAGCACCTCCCGATATTCGGTATTTTGATAATTTTGGTATTTGGTATATGGTATTTGAAGTCCGTAATGGATATTACAGCCTATGACAGAAAATGTGTATGTGCATGTCCACGTCTTCGTATAGCCCTCATATAATGGTACCTCCTGATATTCGGTATTTTTATGATTTTAGCGATATTATTTATCGTAATTGTTTCAAATTTGGTATTTGAAGTTCGTAATGGATACTACAGCTTATAACAAAAAATTCTTATGCAGCACACGTCTTTGTACAGCTTCCATATAAAGTTTAGATCTGAGCGGTATTTTTCGGCAGATTTTTTTTTGAAAATTTTCAAGTTTCTTCCGAATGGTGGAAGATATAAAAAGTTAGGCCCGGTCGAACTTAGCTGCTTTTTATTTATTTCTCATATTAAAGATATTACTAGTGTGTGTACATTGTTTCATTTTAATTGTCTGTTCTTCACGAATCTACTAGTTTTGATTCTTTTTTCAATATCATAAAGAAAAATTCGTTTATCATAGTAAAAAAATTGAAATTCTTGCAGCTTTGGAACAGAGCAAATATCTTTTGGAAAGTTGTCCAATTTAAATTGTTTTGTATAATTGTGATTGTTGATATTAGGTAGTGGTACGAATATAAAATATGGGTTTATATTTGTTTTATGATACTAAACCGAGCTGTTCGTCATCTACCATGACATTTAATTCATTCACACCCTTATACCCATAAAACTCCATCTCTTGCTTTAGCTGTTTGTTTACAATCTTACTATGGCATAAACATCTCCCAACCGCTTTTTAGTGAACAAAATATTAACCCCTATTTGCATTTATGCATCAGTGCTTAAGTCGCCAAATAACTCAGATAATCAATTTTTCGTTTTAACGTTCGTTCATTCATCATGCCATAACCCGGTTGTGCTTACATTTGACTAACAAATTGGCGATGATAAAAAATCCCCAAAAGCAGCGCTAACATAAGGCTATTGACATCACTGTTTTGAATTGCAAACAAATCAACTTTTTTCTCTCGCTCTCCTTACCGACGGAAACCAGAAATAAGATTATTTTTTTATTTCAGAGATGGATGTTGTGAGGAAATGTAAATTATTAAACCATGTGTAATAATAGAACAAATATTCTTATTAGAATTTTCCATAGGTTAAAAAAAGTCCAACAGAAAAGTCACAAATTACAAGTTGTTATTAAAAACTTTACATTACAACATACTTAACTTACCGTTACACATACCACAGAGTCACAGCTCCCAACTCTGTTGTAGTAGAATAACAGCACTAAATAAAGAAACACTTGACATAACATGGGAAGTGAAGTCGATAAGAGGAGGACCCACGAAGTAACATCTCATTTTTTGACGTGTTAAAAAGCCAACAAAAATTTATATTCTTTGAAACAAGGAAAACATTTTAAATTTATTTCGTAAAAAAATTATTGATAACGTCATGCAATTTTAAAGAAAAGTAACACTGAGAGTTGTTAGAACTACGGACGTAAACAGAATATGAAATTTGACTACGTTTTGGTAAGCAAAGAGAAAGACCATGTAAAAATAGGGGGTGGGGTGGATTTATTTCATGCGAAACCTTTTTGTTTGCATATTTTTTTTATAGATTTTTATGAGTTTAGTCAAAAATTATAAAAATATTTTCTTATTTAATTTATAGCTAAGTTCCAGCGATGACAAAAATGCTTCAGTCTCCACCACCCGCCGTAAGTCACCCAGCAGTGGTAATTCTGGCGGAGGTTTACCCAGTGGCCTCAAATTATCATTCTTATGTTTAATTGTATCAGTTTGCCTGCTTTTGGTAGTATTTGGTATGTGATGGATGTATTTTCAATCTTTGTGCGCTACTCCTAACATTTTTTATTCTTCTTTTTTTAGGTTTATATATTGACACAACCAGTCCATTTCTAGTACAATTAGCGTCCAAATTGGGTTACAATAAAAATCAATATGCTGTGATTATTGATGCTGGATCGACCGGTAGTCGTGTCTTGGCCTATAAATTTGATCGTAGTTTTATAGGTATGTGAAATTTAATTTAAGTCGAAATGAAATTTAATTAGAGCTGGTTCATCATACCTTCCCAAATCGAGAGACGGGCAAAAGGCCTTTAAAAGGATTAAAGAGCTGAAAAGTTTTTACTGTTAAAAAATAGATAATGTTCTTGCATGCGTTTGCTTTATCAAGTCATCCGGGTTTGTAATATCTAAGTGGCAAAATATTTAAAAACTACGCGTCTAGAAAGCTGCACATACCATGGTCAGGAACGTACTAAGGGTGAACCTTGGGTAATGTTTACATTACTGATATTTCCTTTACATTAAACAGGGTTAATTTTTAATTTCTATGTGGGCTTCCAGAAATTGTTCGAAAGGTATTTATGTGTAGGTTCCTGGTCATGGGAGAACGCTAAAGCCGTTAGGATGCTAATAAATTGTCTCCATTAAAATCTTAACAAACAATTTCTTGGTTTGTAATATGTTATGCGACCTAGGTGTGCATTAAACGACACAGAATCGAGGTATATTCCGGACCATGATTGGTTCTGCATGTATCCAATTGCTACTTTATCGTGATGAAAATCCTCACCATATAAATATACAGGGTGAGATAAAAAACTGCATCAAAGTACATTCCTGGGGAATTGCTTGCTTGAGTTGATCGACACTTTGGAATTTTTTAGTGCTTTCCAAAATACTCCAGACACAATAGTCCAACCGGTATCCGGAGATTTTGGTGGCCATTGTGCGCTGGAAATGAAGCGAGGAGCCTCATTTTGTAACCATTCTTGGGTGGCGCATACTGAGTGCGATGGCTAAATGCGGCCAAAATGTTTGCGTGTCCAAGGCTTTAATAAACCCTTCAAAATACTTTGCGATAATATTCGGGATTTATTCTGATGCCACGGTCGATTAATTCGAGCGGAGAGCGACCATCGGCTATTATGGTGGCCCACACCATCACCATGGCCGGCGCTTGAGTTCTAGTGGCCAACCGAAGTTGTACATTTTCAGCTGACCTTTTGGCAAGTAGACAAGGTAATTTTGTTTGTTTACAAACTGCTGAACAACGAATGTTTTCTCATCGGAGAAAACCAAATTCAGCGGTTCACCACCTTCGGCCAAGCGAAGCAACTCTTTAGCTCTTTTGAGTCTATTTTCTTTCCGTTGCGGTGTAAGTTCTTGCACTTCTTCAATATTTGCCAAATGGAATATTGCGATATGTTCATCTCACGAGCCATTTTTCGGCCACTGCGACGCGGGTTTCGTCGCTTCTTTACTTTTCAAACCATTTGTGCTGATGTTGCTGTTTTCTTCCGTCCACTTGACTTGACATCGGGCTACGCACCAGTATCACGGTAACGAGCGATGGTATGAGACACAAAAGATGTATTCAAATTTAAATGCTGGAGTGCTCTAACGATAGCTACTTGTGGAATAATTGGAAAAATTTTAACAGCTGAAGTTGCTTGCAGTTTTTTCATCTCACCGTGTATAGCTATATCTAAACAGATTTTCTCCATATTTGATGTACTTGCTTCCAGACTGAATTCGGTGGGATGTATCAAAGTTCATGTCATTTGGACTTATATTGGCCATTTGGTGCACTATCAATCCGAAATCTGTTGAGGATGTATGGGAGCTATATCTAAATCTGATCCGATTATCGCCAATTTCAATAGGGTTCGTTCTTGGCCCAAACAAATATTGTTTGAAAAATTTCAGCTTAATCCGGAAAATAAATGCGGCATGCAATTTATTCACAAGAATACTTGCACAAACTATGGGTCTATCTCGCTTCCTTCTCCATGTTACAAACAAATGCACAAACACAATACTCTTACCTCTACGTGTGTAGGACATTTTCGACTTACTTATTCTAATGTCTTTCAATCCGCCCTGTTTATAACTATTTTTTTTTTACTTTTATTTTCAGATAACAAATTGGTACTCTCCGATGAGCTGTTCAAAGAACGCAAACCCGGCCTTTCATCATTTGCTGATGCCCCAGAAAAGGGTGCCCATTCCATTAAATTACTTTTGGATGAGGCTCGGGCTTTTATACCCAAAGACAAATGGTCTTCCACGCCGTTAGTACTTAAAGCTACAGCTGGTTTACGTCTTCTGCCCCATAGCAAAGCGGAAAATCTTCTCAATGCTGTACGCGATCTTTTCACCAAATCTGAATTCAGTGTTGATATGGATGCAGTTGAGATTATGGATGGCACCGATGAGGGTATATTCTCATGGTTTACTGTTAACTTTTTGCTGGGACGTCTATCGAAAACAAATCAGGCAGCTGCCTTGGATTTAGGTGGTGGCAGTACCCAGGTGACATTTTCGCCCACCGACCCCGAACAAGTACCGGTATATGAAAAATACATGCACGAGGTGAATACCCTGAATCAAAAGGTCAATGTCTTTACTCATTCCTATTTGGGTTTGGGTTTAATGGCGGCAAGACATGCTGTCTTCACCAAAGGTTATGCCAAAGATGAAACAAGCTTAGAATCGATTTGTGTTAATCCCATCATATCGAATCGTACATGGATTTACAGTAATGTGGAATATAAGATCTCGGGCAAAGATCATGCCAAATCTACGCAAGAAAATCCCATTGTTGATTTTGATGCCTGTTTGGATTTGATTAAAAGTAAAGTGATGCCATTGGTTAAGCCCAAGCCCTTCACCCTGAAAGAACACACGATTGCGGCATTTAGTTATTATTTTGAAAGGGCCACCGAATCGGGTTTAATTGATCCCTTTGCTGGTGGTGAAATTACCGTTGAAGCTTATCGCAAGAAAGCCCAAGCTGTATGTGCCATACCCAATGATGAGCAACCGTTTATGTGCTTTGATTTGACATATATCTCTGTGCTGCTGCACGAAGGTTTTGGTTTGGGCGAGGGCAAGAAAATTAAAGTAAGTTGTGGATACAGAAAATGGAAATTAAGATCTAATAGTAATTTCTTTTATAATTTCAGCTGTACAAAAAAATCGATGGCCATGAGATATCTTGGGCCCTGGGCTGTGCCTACAACGTTTTAATGAGTGATGATAAATTTAATTCCTAGATTTTTTTGTTTGTTTAATTTAATTTGTTTTTAGAATATTTTTTTTAGTATTCCTCCCCCCTCTCCATTAATTTTTCGTTTGTTTACCTTGTAGTATGTGGTGTGCTGCTAAATATGCTATAGTGCCTTAGAATGTAGCCTTTTTAGTTCGTTTGTTATTCTGTTTTGTTTCTCTTTCCTCTATGCACATATCACTTAACCAACCATTCTAAATTCGGAACATTTTCATGCTTTTTAAGCTACTGAATATCTAGTTATGTTTAGATATTATTGTTATCTACTTTGAGCAGGAAATGTAGTTCACTTTTGTATTGATATTATAACTACTATATTATTGTAAATATAGTATTTGATTTTAAGTTTTCTCTTTTTATTATTATTGAAAACACACACAAAATTAATAATTGTGCACACTTAGTGGCAAAATAATTTAATTAAAAAGAAGCTAATAAATTATAGTAAATTAAAGTGTTTTTTTTTTATTCTACACATTAAGTAACTTGGGAGATGTTCTTAGTTGCAATCAATTGGGTAAAGATCGCCATCAGAACGACAACCTTCTGTTTTGTAGGATCTCCCTCTCTAGATTGTGTAAGTCCTTACTGACTCGCCTGGGTAAGGAAATTTTATCATCCATATGGTTGGATGGCTTCCACGATAACACCCAAGCAGGTATTGCGACGAAAGAAAATGGTTATGCTGTCGTACGGGAAGGACCTTAGCCTCTCCATGTATATGGTCCAGCATTCTGGCTGGATACTTTTCCATTGCGTTACATTAGTATTGATAGACCAACTGGAACCGCATAGCAGACGAAAAACCGACCTATCGCCTTATGAGAGGCCAACAAAATCTCCTGATCCCACCCCAAGAGCTGCCAGCTAGCACCTTGAGGACCTTCTTTCTAATTTTCATTTTGTCGCATATAGCAGTGGCTTGCGCGGACGACTTGAACATGAATTCTCTAGGTGCACACAAACAGTGTACCGTGGTCAAGGAGCTTGTTCTGACTTAATCCTCGACTGATATGTGTGGATATGGCGAGCAATGTAATATTGGGGTGCTATGTTGTGAACGGATCTGGAATATTGATGGTTGGCAATTGGACATCTTCCTCTAATGCTGGGGAGGTGAAAATCCTCAAGAATCTGTTTTAATACCGACAAAAGCGAAATTAGCCCGTATGTTTCGCCTTTGCTGGTATTCTTGCCTGTCTTCAGAAACGATGTGAATGGCTAGCGACAGGTTGAAAACTTTAGTCAGGCACTCAACTCCCTGTGTCTTCGCTCAACGCTTTGGATGGCTTTTGCAACATCATCGATCGTAAACTGTGGTGTTACCTATTCAGCGGAAAGAGATCTGATACGACGTGGTACCATTCGCTTCGCCCTGTCGCTCTCGGGGTGCTCGTCAAATTGTCGTTTAAAATACTTAGCGCACCTCTTCGGATCAATCACGTTTACGTAACTAAAAGTGACTACAGTCCCATCATCCTTTTTCCCAGGATTCGAGGACGATTTAGCCGTTACCCACAAATTACTCATATAAGTACCTTGTGGATGCTGAAACCGACGGCAAAAAAGTTAAATATAAGTAGGAGAGGATAAAAGTATAACTTACCTTATTGGCTGGTTGTTTGGATTCTTAATTCATATTAGCACCCCCTGTAACAAAATGTTTAATAGAGGTACACATTTTGACTAAACCCCAAGTAGACGCACTACTAAAGATCTACTGGGAAAATTTTCAAGAAAGCTCCCATATGACACTACTGCCCATGTACTGGGAGTTTCAAATGGTAGGATTATTTGAGTGTAATTTAAAAATTCGTACTTTTCTGTGTCAATTTAAAACCAATTGGGAATAAGTTTCATTTTATATAATAAAATTGTGGCCAGAATTTGTCTTATATATAGAGAAGAATTTCGTAGGCTATCAAACAACGTTTAATATTTGAAATTAATGCAAATTTTGGTATTATAAAATTATTATTTTATTTCGTATTCTTTTTTGTTATACTAAAGAAGTTATAATTTAAATAACTTATTCTTTGTTTGTTCCTTTACTAGTTTTGTTTTAGACTTATGTACGTAAATGCAAAAATAATAAAGCTAATATATGTTCTTTTTTTCTTATATTTTTTGTGAGTGTGTGTGTATACAATAAAATAGTATAATAACAAATTGTCTATAAAAGTTTACAAAATACAAAAAGGAAGAAAATAGAGACAAAAATAGTAAAGATTTAAATAAATAAGATAGGGCCTGGAGAACGGTCGTTAATACCATGAAATTGAATTTTAAACATAACAATTGTACATATCCATGATTGACTATATATTCTATATACCATTAGAATTCAGAGAAAAATATATTGACTTGCGTTCTTTGCCGTCCCTTCGAAAAGTAGTATAAAATAGAAAAGGGGAAAGCTTTAGTCATCTATCGTTTTCGTAGAGAAGAGAGAGAGAAAAAATGCAAATATTCAGGAAAACGTTTGAAAAGTTTGGTGCACCAAGTTGAGATAGAGTGAGCGTGTTTTTTTATAGAAGAAAACTATTTTTCTGTTATTTTTGCAATCGAGTTTCATTACACTTCAAAATAAAGCTTTCTTATTTTTGGGTCTTTTGTCGTGTCGAAAGGTAACACTTGGAGACTACTTTCCACAATCTTAAGGCCTCTCCAATATTTGTGGTTTAATTTCTAGGCGATCCATAACATATTGTGGCATACATAGAGTGGCATTAATCGCTTTTAGGCCCTCAAATCCCAACAAGGAAAGGGCGCCAATGCCGAACAGTGTATGGAATATATCTGGTAAATTGCCCGTGCGATCGGCAAAACCTCCCGTTTCGTTATCTTGGCAAGATAGTATAAATTGTTTGAGTTTATCGGCACTTATCCAATGGAGACGTCCCATAATTGTAAGCGAGGCTAGCACCCACCACGAGTAACAGACGTCGGGCAACTTTTCAGGACGTCCATTAAGGCCACCTGAGGGTAATTGACGTTCACACAGCCACCAGCCCAATTTATCCACATCCAAGAGATGTAAACGATGTGTCAACGACAAAAATCCCACACAACAATAAATAAGACCTGTTGTAGGACAAAAAACAAACACATTAATCTTAGATCAAATGTAAGGCATTAATTTAAATGTTACCCGCATGCGATTCAGCCCCTGGCTTAGAACCGAAACCTCCATCAGTTTGATTGCAACACGACATAACAAACTGTACTGCCTTCTCGACGTCAATTGTTGTGGCCAAATCTTTTTTCAACAGCGTCAATATGGCAACAGCACAAAATGAAAATCTCGTATCTACTTCACCCCAACGATCACCAAAGAAACTGCCATCATGCTGTTGCAGTGACATCACATATTTAACTACGGCCTCGCAGTCAATTTGTTCTAAGGCATCGTAAATACACAATATCTGCACTGCAGATAAAGTGTATAGTATATGGGGGTCGTGACCTTCACACGGCGCAAAACCACCTGTCGTCGGACACTGGCAGCGTTTAATAAACTCAATTATGGAGTTTCGGTCAAGGCGTTCCAATTGATTCATAATGTCTAGCGCCGTGACGCCCCAATATATTCCAGACATGCGTAAAAATTCCGTCATACAGTACTCATAGTCATCCTGATCTTTACCATGATTCTCAATATATTCGACATGCTTCCAGAAATGTAATTCTTCTGTCTTGGAGTCATCCGTAGTTGGGCTGTTTGCATCCGAATTCGTTGGCTTTGCAAACGATGCGAAATCCATGGCTTTGAGGGTAAGGCTGGCGGTAACGTGGGGAAGGATCTAATAATAAATTACAAAAGCCTCTCTTGCAGCAAATTTGTGGCGTTTTATTGTTGCAAATAGATATATGAAATGATAAAATGACAAAGTATTCTTCTTTTTTTTGTCTCGGTAAATCACAGTGAATTGACAACAAATTGTATGATACATTCCTTGGCAAATTATAAAGTCGTTCAATAATAACAGCTGATTACTAAATTTAATGTCAAAATGTCATGCATTGAACAAGTGTAGAGAAGATAATTAAGAACAAGTCTAGAGTAAGAACTCTCAGATTTTTTGTACATTTTTTTCTAGACCTGCATCTACTAAACCAATATGCACAATATAGGTACCATGGTAAAATTAAGAAGGTAAAGTAATTTCAAATAAGCATTCCCATCTATGCATTTTCTGTAATTTACCTTGTCAAATTTCACCGAATAGAAAAAAATGTCCCAACTCTGATTTGTGTATGTACAATGGATTTATAAATAAACACTTTGACAATGATTTGTTGTCAAATGAATAATTTTGAAAATATTGTTAACATATGATTGTATGACGTACCTTCTTAAGTGGCACCATTATTGGGGTCTACGAAAGACATGTTAAATTATTGGATACACTTTAACCTTTCCCATGGTAGAATGAAGAAGGTAAAGTCTTGCATATCATATGTTTACAATTTTTTTTTCAAAATTATTCATTTGACAACAACTCATTGTCAAAATTTATATTTTTAAATCCTTTGTACATACACAAATCAGAGATGGGAACCTGATTTACATTCAGTAAAATGTGACAAGATAAATAACAGAAAAAGCAAAGATGGGAATGCTTATTTGAAATGTCTTTACCTTCTTAAGTTTACCATGACCTTTCCAAAGTCTGACAATGTTTCTGTATCCAGACATAAGGGGTTTTGAAAATGTTATACTGTTTTCTGGAAATTTTCCAAATTTGATTTTTTCATGCTTTGTTTCAGAACTGCATGAATGTAAAAAAAATTAATACGATAACCGATATTTCCTGTATGATAAAAATAATTGCAAAACTAGTATATTCGTGCATGTTCTGAAATAGAGCATAATTTATAATGTTGAATGAAAATTCCCTCATAGAATTAAGAAGGTGAGGTCGTGGCTCAATAAGAAAGATTGATCAACTTCGAAGATAATAGATAAATGCAACTCAGTGCTGGAATCTTATAGTCTCAAATCGAGTTCTAAATATGCAACAGATGGTTCTGTTTACTTTTTAATTTTCTAAAAAAATCTTATATTAGAGAAATCCCGCGGCTTATTCCACAAGACTGAATCAAAAGTAGTAGTAGTAGAAAATATGCATTTATGGGTACACCATGGCACAATTACAGAAGGTAGAACAAAGCTATCCCTAAATGCAATTTTTTTTTTGTTTGGGTCCCTTATTTTGTCAAAACATATACACATTTTGTGTATTGTTCTGAATAAAAAAAAATATAAAAATTTGAAATTATTTCAAATTCGGTTGCAAAATAAATGCATACTTTCGGTGTTAATGGGCAATACATTGTACAATAATGGTATAAAACTGTATTGTTTAACTATTTTGGATTCAATCTTGTGGAATAACTCCATAATTCCATTCTTGTTTCGCGGGTTTTCTCCAATATAAGAATTTTGTTAAGAAATTAAATATAAACAAAACCAACGGGTGCATATTTAAGAGGCTATTTGACACTATAAAACTCCAGCACATAGTTGCATTTTTCTAGTTTCTGTGAAGTTGAGCAACCTTTCTTATTGAGCCATGTTACATACCTTATATAGAAATGTACATACTTTTAAATAATAATTAAAATAAATTTGAATGTATAAAAACTACTTTTCCACATAATTTTAGTCAGAAGACTCTTTTTAAATGTATTTTACAGTGTTATTTGTCATTATATGTTCCCACACAATTTTTAATTTATAATTTTATCTCTTAAAATTTGGACCAACCAACTTGCCGTCTGTTGTGCTGATGCAATTGCCTAATATATCAACCTTGCTTGCAACCATGGTACAATGATATCAAGGTAGGGCTATGATACCATATGATTTTAATTTTTTTATTTTCTTGGCTTAATAAGTCATCTTTATTTGTTTATGTATGTGTTTTCTTTTCAATAACAAAAAATTGTTCAGAAAATATTAAAATTCAGATGTTTTCAAAATGTTTATTTCAACGTATGCATCGACAAAATCTAGAGTTTCTGTAGCGAAATAATCCTTTAGAGATATGTAGTACATGATTTTGAAAAGAAGTGTTGACCTTTCATTCAGTTATCGCGGTTTTCAATTATTTGTTCAAAATAAATGCAACAAGTTGTTTGATTTTTTATTGTTTTGATACTAATTTTGACATTACAAGCCAAACAGGTACACCTCTATACTTGCAATTTTTCCAAAGTTGACATGGCAGAAGAATACAGGTAGATGCATCAACGCTTGGGAGCATTGATGTGTCAAAAAAAAATTTAAATGGGTTTTTCAAATATAAGTAGATCTTTAAATACTTTCTTATACTAAGTCATTCGGAGGCTATTATAATTCGCGTTTTTCAACAATTTTTACAAATTTAAATAATTTTTCATTCAACATTTTCAATTCCAAAATTGGTTTGACAGTTCATTGTCCAAGCAGCTGTGTCGACGCGTCTACCTATATTCTTCTACCATGAAAGTTGACCTACCTTCTCTTCATTGTACCATGCTTGCAACAACAAAATAAATCAGCTGTTTTTGTTTATACGTCGACTTATATTTGTGCAAAACATTTGAATATATTTATACCCTACAACACTATGTGTTGGGGGTATTATAAGTTTGATTGGGCCAAAAATTATGTAACACCACGAAATATTGGTTTCCCACATAGGAAAGTATATATGGATCATCCTAGCTCGCCGAGCTGAGTCGATCTAGCTATGTATGTCCGTCCGTCCGTCTGTCCGTCTGTCCGTCTGTCCATGTTAATTTGTAATCACTCTACAGGTCGCAATTATGGCCTGATCTTCACGAAATTTGGAATGGAGGTCGGGGTTGGGCCAGAATAGAACCCTATTTCTTTTTGAGATGATCGCCAAATGTTTAGGGGTTGAAATGGACCAAATACTGAAAAAATGTCGGATTTTGCAGTAGCTATACAGGTCGCAATTATAGACCAATCGACGCGGAATTTCGCATGTAGCTAGAGTTTAGGACGGGGAAGAAGCCTACCAATTTGGGTGGTCATCGGATAATATTTAGCGGGTAAAATAGACCATATATTTTGTGTTGAAAAAATTCAACATTTTTCATTAAACCGCGAATATTTTAAATCCCGGCGAAATCACAAAGCCATGACAAGGTTACTTCTGACCTTTACATTGATGTTAACATCCAACAAATCGAATATATAGCAAAATATGTGCGATATATATGTTTATCAAAGAAGATATGCTTGAAAGATCTCTAATATGTCGAGAACGGCTAAACTGATTTCGACAGTTCTCATTAATTCAGAATGGCCTCTTGGCAGGAAAGAAAAAACGTCCAAAAAAATCGCATAAAAATATCTCTCTAAAGATGAAAATATTGATTTTCTAAAATTTTCTCATATTTTTTCAATTTTGTCATATTTTTGGCATATTTTCATTTTGAATTAAACATTTGGTAATATTTCTACAGCTAACAAAACTAAGTAGTTATGACATCAGAATATCATATACAGATCGCATTTATGGCCCGATCCTTACGAAATTTTGCATGGGGATAATATGAGGGTCAGAATAGAAGCCTATTCTTTTTGGAGATGATCGTTATACATTTAGGGGTTGAAATGGACCAAAAAACTGCAAAATTGTCGGCAGGTCGTAATTATCGCCCGATCCTCACGCACATTTGAAAGGGGGTTACCGGACATTGCAAAAGAAAAGCAGTTTTGGATGGCCATCCAAAAATATTCAATGTGTGAAATAGTTTGCCAACTTTTGTAGACAAAAACGAAAATGTCCATTCCAGAGACTTTTTCGAGAATTCACAAGTACAGGAAAGACGCACTTCTGACTATTTCGTTAACGAATATAGTCAAGTGTCTGTATCTCATATAGATGCGTTTCAGTCAAAAACCAATAATAAATGTTAATCTTTTGCCACTTCTAAGAAATTATAGGTCTTTGGGAAATATTGGTTCCAAATCTAGGAAGACCATTTAAGTGCAACATCTACCAATAAATTGGAAATGAGCAAATTAGTTTAAGTTGCTATAATTCGAAAATTAGAGAACGAAACCTGATGGTTTTCTTTTATTATTTGTCACAATATCTTGTGCAATTCTTTCGAGTATCTCGCCTATATAAACTGTATCGTTTATTATAGTGTTGTAGGGTATTCAACGGTCGGCCCCGCTCGACTGTAGCCTTTGCTTACTTGTTTTATTTTGCAATTGCAAAACCACGATTATTAACGAAAATGTTATATGTTTGCTCATTTTCTGTGCCCTTATGATTTGTTTATCCTTCCTCTTCCAAATGTTTTTTCTAATTAATGTCAAATGTAGTGTCGAACATAATTCAAATTTCATCAACCTGTCTTACTTCCCAACAGGCATGTGATAGTTAAGGTGAGAATACGAATAAGCCAGCCGATGACTTAAGCTAGTAAAAAGAGCGTTTTATGTATTATCACCTTAAGATTCATTTACGATTCATGAAAAATTGACTTTTGTAAACATCTGGCTAAATAATGGAATACATCTCTTAAACTGTTTCCATACAACACTGTAATTTCATAAGTCTTAACTTTTCTTACACAACCCTGCACGATACCATTTCAGAGCACCATTGTGTGTGACATTTCTTCTACTACCTTTTTGTACAGCTCTGCTAAAAATATGTAAAAGTGTAAAAAATTTTGGAACATAATTTCGCCTCGTTTTCTTTTTTCCACACAAAATATTAATCAAATTGTTCGTGGCAAAAGTGTGTGTGTGTTTTTGGGTCGACACAAATCCAAAATTGAAACATTTAACTGCAACAAAAACCTAACACTTTTTGATATTTTGTAACGCAAGCTGGCTCTATTGCATGAAGAAGAAAGAAAACACCATAACGAAGGCAGGGCGAAAAAGAAGAAGAAAGCAACAGCGACATCAGCAGCAGAAGCAGTAGCACTGACGGAAATTGTTAGACTAGCACGAAGCAGCAGTGGTGGAACTGTGATTGCGATTGATCGAGAACGTCTCCACACGAAGGATCGGCACCTCAGAGGACAACAAATTAATTGGCATTTAATTGATAGGTGAAGCCTGTTGACATATTCCACTACCACCTTTCGCTCGCTCTCTCTCTGCTGTGTAGGTTGTGCGCGTTCTGTGATTTGTTGTTATTGTTGTTGTTGCTGCACAGTGCCAGCATAAATGCTTCAACAACATTGATTACACAAAAGGTTCAAATATCAAGAGGAAAAATTTGAAGAAGAAAAAGTAATTTTGCCATATGGAAGGCAATTGAGTCACAAGCAAGACGGACAAGCAAAAAATCTCTTGGAGATTTTTGTGACCTTAGTTACGTGGGAAGTTATTGCAGGGACCAGGTATTCAGTAAGTCAGCCAGCCAGCCAACCAGTCTAGTTGGTCCCTTTGAACTTCGACAGACAATTGTTGATTTGCATTTTGTGTGAAAATAAAGGCCATGTCAAATGGTGACGATGTGCTAGACAATTGGGAAGAATTTGACGAAGCCGGTGTAAGTTTTCCCCCATACGTATATAGCTATATTTAAAACATGACTAACAATGTATTTTTATGTTTTAGTTACAGACTTCTTTGAAAAACTCCAAAGCCTCATCACAAGATACCTCGTCTACGACAACAGAAAGGATTGGCTCATTAAAATCCACAACATTGCAAAAGAGTTCACAATCGTTGTCATCGAGTCAAAGTCAAATATCTTCTACTACTGCCACCACTCCATCATTGTCGCTGTTGAAACATCCGCAACAACCACCAATGAAATTACTACAACGTTCATCAACTCAGGCCCAGGATTCTTCCGCATCAACGCAAACAACGACTGCTGGAAATAAGAATTTTGTAAAATCACCATTGGACGATATGGCGGCTACATTTGAACCGGTCATGATGGTTTTACACAAGCCAAACGATGAGTACTCATCAGCCACCTATACTCAGCCGACAGTAAATCAAACGGTAAAAATCTTACGACGTCCCACTCAATCGTCAGAGCCTCGCAATAATGGTATGCGACCGAAACAACCGATTAAGACACTCAAACAAAGGGAGCAGGAATATGCCGAGGCAAGGTTACGGATATTGGGTTCGGCGAAAAATCCCGAAGATGATGAACAGAAGTAAGTAGCAATGTGGGTGAAAAAAGGGAGAGAATGCGAAATTTGGTAAAAAGGGGGAGAACGCGGCATCAAAATCGGTATAGTCAGGGTCTTATGTATGAAATATGATGCTTATTTCGGATCTTACAATCGTTTTGGTTATCCAAAACTTTGACCCTTTGTGAAGGAGGTACCAGAAGAAGTGAACCAATATATTCTATATTCACACCAGACTTTGTTGTGATGTGTGTAATTTGGAAACAGTCGAAACTATTAGGATTTGCAAAGTTGGAGCAAAATCGGACTGTCCTTTCTCTGTGTAGTATAATATTTTCTTTGAAAATGTCGACCTTTTGTGGGGGAGGTATCAGAAGGATCTAAGTTTCATAATAATATTACGATTTACCAAGTTTGGACAAAATCGGATGCTCCCTTCGAGAGTTATCGTGCGCACCAGCCAGACAGAGAGAGGGACGGACATCGTTAGATCGACTCCAAATGTCCTGAAACGCATTTGGTCTAAAGAGACCTAGGGTCTAAAACAGTTATTTGGATTAAGCACGTTTTGGCCGTATCAAGTAGACATACGGCTGAGGGTATAAAGATATACAAACCTGCCTAACCATCTATCTAGGGACATTCGGATCTTGTATTGGATTGTTTTTGCGCGTATTGAATGCGCTGTCGAATTTCGGTATAGTGGTCGGAATTCATTTTCCATCGAAATGCAAATTTATCTTTTATCGATGAACTAGGACGACATGATCCTTATCAAGGGTTTCAGAGGAGATTTATGCTGCATTACCCAGACTTCGGGATCAATCTGCATGACTGCCGATAGATTGTGGATCTTTCTTGATGTATATGACTCCCCATTTATCCGGAATACCCATTGATGCCTACATTAAAGCAAATTAATGTCTAGGAGAGAACAGTGGCCAATGGAATTACCCTTTTCAAAGAATTCTAACAGAAATAGGCAAAAAACTTAAAATCTGACGGAACTTCCATGGCTGGCACCCTTGCTAGAAAAAGAGTGGTCAGTAAAATTATCCTTTTTGAATATTTCATCATGAAAATTGCCAAATATCTCGGAATCCGGCGAAACTCCTTTGATATATTGGGGCCGAAAAATTGTCCTTAAAAACAGTGGCCAATGGAGTTAGCTTTTTTAAACATAATCTGGTAAATCATTCCATACTTATTAAAATGGACCAATATAATTGTCCTGGAAAGCACAGAGTTCAATGGAGCTATCCTTTGAAAGCATTTTTCCAGAATGTGACAAGAATTTTTCTCAGCTTCCTATATTTTGGTTATGTTTTTTAGCTCTTGTCTATTAAGCAAAACTGATGTTGGTTCTTCTTTCTAAGGAATTAAACCTCAGACCAGAACATTGTTTAATAAACATTTAAAGTTTTGGAAACCTTGAAAACACCAAATATATAGTTGCTTCATTAAATATTTTTACAATTCTTTTCTCCTTTTTTATTTCAGGGCGACATCATCGCCAAGTGTGGCAACGTCTACCGGTAATTCCGCACCTTCTACACCAACAACGGCTGCAGTTACAACACCTTCTGCTGCAACGCCGTCATACCCAACAACACCATTAAATGTTGGTCCAACGAAAATGAATTCGCCCAAAACTCAAAGTGGTGGTGGCGGTGGACCACCACCCTACAATAATCACTATCAATATCAGCAGCAGCAGCAACAACTCCAACAACAGCAGCAACAACAATATCAAGCGCAACCACAACCACAACAATATCATCCGAACTATCAACAACAACAAAATTTCTACTACAACAATCAGCAACCACAATCACCTGCCTACAACAATAACAATCGCACATTTAACAGTATGCCCCTGTTGGGACATGGACCGATGGGTGCCATTGGCCAGCCAGCAGCACAATACCAACAGGGTCCAACGGTGCATCAGCAACAGCAAATGCAAAAAATGCAACAGCATTATCACAAGTCATCACAACAGCAAAAGCAACAGCAAACCTGGTCTCCAGTAGTGGGTGGCAGTGTTTCTTCAGCTTCGTTGAGGCAACAACAAAATGAAAACTTGTTACGTTTACCCAAGGGGCCAGATGGTACCATTGGCTTTCAAATGCGCCGGTAACGCGATGATAGGCCTCTGGACTAACGCCTAGCGATGGTCGTCGCCAGTTAAATGAATTAATCAATCATCAAATCCTAATAACTGCTAAATTGTAATATTACTCAACTCAATATCTTTATTAAGTGCAACGCCTTTCGGATTCGAACATTTGTTTTTTTTATTCGTGGAACTGTTGCCGGATATATTTGGCATTTAATAGATATATTGGGTTAAACAAAATATATTCCCTCGATGTCGCTGCCGTTTATTTTCTACATTTGAAAAAAGAAGAAGAAGGAACATTACTATTTTTGGGGAACCAACAGAGATTTTTGCTGTTTTATAAATGATACAAAGAAGAATGGAATGGAAATTCCCTAAATAAAACAAATGAAAGTAAATTGTTTTACATTTAAAATTATACTTTTCTTCTAACCACCCAATTACGTTACACTTGTTTTGGCTTCTTCTTTTTTTTTACTAATCCAGACCCAATCTAAGTCCAAGTCCCCCATAAACAGCCTTTTTACACATTTTGTCACTGATTGATTTGATTTAAAAATTTGATTTTTTTTTAAACTGTATGGAACATATTAATTATATATAATATTTTACAAACAAAACTTTACTTTTGTGCTGTTTTTATTACTTTTACAGAAGAAGAGTGGCTGCCGAAATATGCTTTTAAATAGTCAATTTTACAGCAGAGTTTTTTTTTACCAAGTTACAGTACTTTTACAGTTTACCGGATGTAGTAAACCCAGTGAATTTGTATTGGCAATTCCATTACATTTTCTTCAAATAAATTCTCATTTTCGGAGATTAAACCGGCAAAAAGCTGTATTGTAAACACACTATTAACCTGCCTTATGAGGATTAACTTGACGTATATGCAATGGAATTGACAATGGGTTTACTACATCCGGTAAATGGTACAAATATTCTTTTACAGGGCTAATGCAAAAATATGAACTTATAATCAAACATTTTTTTTGGGGGAGAACACTCCTACCAATTAATTCTGGTTCCTAAATTTCAACTGATTTGGATTTGAGTTATGTACAAAATCTTCACAGTACCAAAATATAGAAGGATATGCCTTAACGTGGGCCGATATTGCCTATTTTCAATATGTGGAAGCTTCATACAGGGTGAGATAAAAAAACTGCAACAAAGTCAAACGCCATAATTTTTACATTTTTTTTTTTTAAATTTTATTGAATGAAAGGAAAAAATGTCGGAAATAGCATCAAATTTTAGAATAAGTTTAGATTTGTTCGAATTACTCACCTTTGGCATGAAATATGGCCATCAAACAGTCAATGAAACCGTCACACGCTGCCCGAAAGTTGCGCTGTGGTATTTTGGTTTATTCCTGGCAAAGCGCTTGCTTGAGGTGATCGAAAATTTGGTGTTTTTTAGTGCCAACCTTGCTTTCCAAAATACTCCAGACACAATAGACCAACGGATTGGTATCCGGAGATTATGGTGGCTGGAAATGAAGCAAGGAATCTCATTTTGTAACCGTTTGTTTGTTTACAAACTGCTGGACAACGAATGTTTTCTCATCGGAGAAAACCAAATTCGGCAATTCATCACTTTCGACCAAGGGAAGCAACTCTTTAGCTTTTTTGAGCCTATTTTCTTTCTGTTACGGCTGTTTACCCCGAGCTCATTTTTCAATATGAAATATTGCGATATGTTCAGCTCACGAGCGATTTTTCGGCCACTGTAACGCGGGTTTCGATCAAGTCGCTTCTTTACTTTTTGAACCATTTCTGCTGATGTTACTGTTTTCTTCCGTCCACTTCCTTGACGTCGGGCTACGCTACCAGTATCACGGTAACGAGCGATGGTACGAGACACAAAAGATTTATTCACATTTAAATGCTGGAGTGTAGAGTAGAATGGAGATTACGAGATTTTAAAGTTGAACAATTTCAACATTGACAATTGAATAATTTCTTATTTTTGTGTAAAATAGAAATGAATAATACATAATGTTTGTAATTGGAAAATTAAACATTTGTTCAATTTGTACAACATTTAGTTTGTTCCAGAACGGGAAGTATAGCTCTGTTCCAGAACTCCAAGAATGTAAAACTTTTTAATACGATACTCTATTTTTCCATAAGATATCGAAAAAAAAATGCAAAACTAGTAGATTCTTACAGGTTCTGGTACAGAACACTCATTAGTTGGTAGATGTTACGATATAGACCTGGCATATTTGGTTGGCACGGACGTAGGTAACGCTGTCAAAAATAAAATATATGGCACTACTTTCTTAATTATAGGTTTCGTCGACTCGGAAACAATTAAAATTTGAGAATTATTTTAAATAAAAAGATAAAAATTGTACATTTATATGTGTATTTCTTATAAAAACACAATTTGTATAATTTCCGGAGGCCAATTACGGAATTTATTCCACTTTCAATTGGAATTCGTTCCTGTGACATGCCTGTAAATTTAAAAAAAGGACTCTGAAGCTGGATTCTTGCAGCTTCAAATTATCTAAAACAAATGCTAAACGTTGTTTTTTTATTTCATGTCTATTTCAGGCATATCACAGGTAAGGATTCGGTAGGAAGTGATTTCAATTTCGTATCTAGCTTCTTCAGAAATCGTAAAACGCAATTTTTTTAATTTTTGCAAGTGAAATTGTATTTTTATGGAAACTTGTGACTTCAAAACTCTTTCAAAATACTTTTAAGTAATAAAGATTAATGACAAATACACAATTAAATTTATAATTTTTATATTTTTATTTAAAATAATTTCCAAGTTTTAATGGTTTCTTAATTGACGAAGTCAATAAAGTTAATAAAGTGCTGCCACATCATTTTTTTTTTTTTTGAAAATCAGAACTTAATTTATTCATCTGTAAAAAACCAAAACAAAAAGAACACTCAAAAAAGAATTTTGTACAAAAAATTATGTAATTATTTTAAAATATGTGAAATATGTATTGTGGAATGTTTAACCAATTTCTATTTGTAATTTTGAAATGCCATAACTTATTTTTTCGATAAATGCTCTCATTTCTTAGGGATGGAACACATTTCATCGTAATTCTGAGAGTGATTTGAATGGAACAAATAACAAAAATCTTTGTTCGCTCAGAACTATTTGCGTCGGGAATCAAGTAGATATTCACGGTAGAAGAATATAGATAGATGCATCAACGCATGCGAACATTGATATGTCAAAATTTTTAAAATGTTTTGCCAAAAATAAGTAGGTTTTTATATGTTTTCTTATACAACGCAAATCGGAGCGTGTAATGTTATGTATTTTTCAACAATTTTTACAAATGTAAATGATTTTTCATTCAAGATTTTCAATTTCAAAATTGGTATGACAGTTCATTGTCCCAGCAGCTGTGTCGATGTGACTACCTGTATTCTTCTACCATGTAGATATTTCATAATTAATTGTCGAAAAACGAATAGAGAGCGAGTCACGTGCCATATGAACTTAGCATTAGAAAACACTGTAGAATTGGAATTATGAAAAATATTCTGTTTAATGTGGCGTTTCCACTGCACTTGATTCGCTCTCTATTCGTTGTTTGGCCCTTAACCATGAAAAAACTATCTAATTCTTCTCACAAAATTTCCTGAGCGAACACTCATATTTGTACGTTGTTCAAATCAAATCACTCTCAGAACAACGAAAAATATGTCCCATCCCTAACAAATGAGAGCATTTATCGAAAAAATAAATTATGACATTTACAAATTAAAAATAGGAAAATTTAATGCAATTTTAAAATTTTTTGGGAAGATTGAAAATTATGAATGAAAACTACAATGTTGTACATACATTCAAACGAAAGTACATTTTGTTTTCTCTCTCATCATTGCGCACCATTTTGTCCACGAGTTGAAATTTCCACAGAAAACTGGAAACAAAAGATGCAATATTTTCAAAATGTTTGTGTCGGCAGAAAAAAAGTTTAACAAGTGTCTCTCCAGCAGAATTTGAAAGTAGAAAAATACTAAAATATGTCCAAAATGTCAACATTTACACAAAAAGTTGAAAACATGAATGAAAATTGTAAAATTAATGATATAATAAATCTTTGGGAGGAAAACAATAATTCTTCTATTCATATTAGTGTGAATTTAATGTATTTTCGTATAAATTCCCATTTAAATTAAACAAACAAAATTTTTGAAAAAAGGAATTATTTTACTATGAATTACGAATCGTGCCGTATGAACGGGTTAATTCGTGTACGTGATTCTGAGAGCAAACAACGTCATTCAGTTTATCGTGTGAACATGCTATAAAAGAAAGTTTTTTTGTGCGAAAATAAATTTAATTTTGTTAATTTTTACGCACAATACATGGTAAAATTAAGAAGGTAAAGTCATGCAATCATATGTTTACAATTTTTTTCTTCAAAATTATTCATTTAACAATATCTCATTGTCAACATTTATATTTATAATTCCATTGTATATACATCAATCCATGGTAGAAGAATATAGGTAGACGCATCGACGCAGCTGCTGGGAGAATGAACTGTCATACCAATTTTGGAATTGGAAATGTTGAATAAAAAATTATTTAAATTTGGAAAAATTGTTTAAAAACGCTTTTTATTAAAACCTCCGAATGACGTCGTATAAGAAAACATATATAAATCTACTTATATTTGAAAAAAAATTAAAATTTTTGACATATTGATATTTCGAAGCGTTGATGCATCTACCTGTATTTTTTTACCATGCATCAATCAGAGATGGAAACCTTTTTTTTCTAGGCTGTAAGATTTGACAAGGTAGATTTCAGAAAATGCAGAAATGGATGTACTTATTTGAAATGACTTTACCTTCGTAATATTACCACGGCACAATGTTGAAATTGATTCCCCAATTTCACTGCGCCCATATTTTTGGAAAGGATTACTCTCATTTTTTCACCACGTTCCACGTCTTTTCCAGCCAATCTTTGTTGGGTGGTTTGGAAAGGACTACTCTCATTTTTTCACCACGTTCCACGTCTTTTCCAGCCAATCTTTGTTGGGTGGTTTCGAGGAATTTAGTTCTTGGGCAAACTGTGAAATTAGTCACAATTCTGCAACAACAAAATTAAAATAAAAATAGATTTTGTCAACTGAGAAACAATTAAAATTTGAAAAATATTTTAAATAAAAATGTTTCTTATAAAAACATCATTTTTAACATTTTAAAGTTTTTCTAGAAACGTTTCAAAATCACAAGTTTCCATGAAAAAATAATTCTACTTGCAGATCTAAAGTGGTTTCATTCCGAATAAAACTTCGTTTTAGAGGAAACAGTTTACGGAATTAATTTCACTTTCGATCGGAATTCGATACTATAACATGCGAACTGTTTTACTCCGTATTATATCATGGTAGCATGCATGGTACAATGAAGTAAAGGTAACCTCATTTCAAATAAGTATTCCCAAATCTGTATTTTCTATAATTTACCTTGTTAAATTTCATTGCATAGAAAACAGTTCCCATCTCCGATTTTGTGTATATGCTATGAATTTATGAATATGGATTTTGGCAAAGGAAAAAAATTGAAAAAATTGTAAACATATGATTGCATGTCTTTACCTTCTTAGTTCTACCATGCTACCATGTAT